AAATATTGAAAACAAAAGATTTTGTGCTTGTTTCAGGTTTCAATTACAGCTAGCATCAAATCAAACTCGTGCAAGGCATTAGGGTGGACAAAAAGATTGGATTTAGGCCATTTTTGGAAAGATTTAAAGGTGAATCAAATCAAGATCAAACTCATTGATGGAGGAAGATTGGATGCATTCTTTCAACCCTAATGCATTCCTTGATACAAATAGAACAAAGGCAAGCCAAAAACTAGGTTAGAAACAGGCGCAACAAGTAGAACAGAATTGAAAAAAATCAAGAAAAAGTGCAAGATCAAATTCAGTGTTCCATGCATCCTCAAAGCCTTCCAGCTATCTCAATCACTTCCTAAGACTCCCATCAAGCGAAAGCAATCAAAACCAAGCATTTTCGAGCCCTATATTGCACTGTAAGTCAGTCACGATACCCAACATTTCTTGAATTCGAATAGCACGATTTAGACATTGTTAGGATGAATTAATCATATATTGTTGATCCATGAAACATTTGCAAGCTTGTTGTATGGTTTAATTGCATTTATATGGCCTATACAAGATTTCACCATTGTTAGGGTTTTGGATTCCGTTTTAGGGTTTTTGTTTACAGGAAAAATTAGCCTTGATGAAAGGCACCATCATGTTCAGAAGGATGAGACGAATCTAACCATAGCATTAGGTGTCATTTATATGGCCCATGGAAGATTTGGGAACGAACCAGGCTTATAGCAACGGACAAACGTCCGTAGGTAAAGGTCTGGGACTTTTACCCACGGAGAGAGGAAGAAGATGACCTATGTGTCACCATTCCATTGGCCCATTCAAACTTTCTGCGCGCGTTTTTTTTATCCTCCACTAATGCTTATTTTTTTGTATATTATTATTGTTATGTATTCCATGTACAACAAATGCAAAGTGGTGCAGTGGTGAGCGTAGCATGGGAAATTGCCTCAGGACCTGGGTTCGAATCCCAGGTCCCCCAAATATTTCATATTTTTTTCTTCCAGGTGATCTAGCTTGTACATGAGGCCAGCGACCACCATGGTCCATCATAATCCAAAGCGCCAAGTGTCATGAAGGCCAGATCCAAAGGCTAAGCAATAGAGGAACACCAAAATCCAAGTCAAACGTGTAGCACAGGATCTCACAAGTCAACATGGACCACTATTGTTTTGGGCCCAGATTTGGTTTCTCACACCCCCATATTTCAGGCCCATATCTCTTACTCTACCTTCTTTTTTTAATTGTTTTATTTTATTTATTTTATTTACTAACACAAATAATTATTTTCTTTTATAAAAAAAAATCACAAAAATATTGTTCACCAATTAGATTTAGGTATTTTTTATCAATAAATTTATTAATTTAATTAGATTTAATTTTAGGTAAAAACTTTAATTATTTTGTATATAATTAAAATTAATTAGAATAAATAGGTTTTATTACTAACTTAATTATATTTTATTTTTTTCCTAAAATAACCAAAACACCAAATAGGCTTTAATTATTTTCATTAATAAATTTAAATTAGCTAATTAATTTGTACATTTAATTTTAAAATCTAAATTCTTTTCTTTTAATAAAACAACAAAAACATTTTCTCTTTTAATTAGGCTAGAAGGGTCAAAACCCTAGTTCGCATTCGTTCTAATTTTCTCGCGCGCCTTATTTTTATTATTTATCATATTATTGTAACTGCCTACAGTTTGTAATAGTTTAATTAGGACGTTTATTTCCATTTATCGCTTTATTTTCAAAGGGTTTGTTTTTGGCTATGTAAATACCTGAAGCCTTGTAATGGCGTAATTTAATTTCTGCACTTTAAATTATGCAAATTATTAACTGTTAGATGTATGATAATAGGATGCATGACAAGAAGGTATGATTAATTTGAAAACAGTTAGATCACCCTAAATGTGCAAGGTTAAATAAACTGAAATTGAATCACTCGCACATGCGCACTCCTAGGGTACACTCCCACTTGGTTGCCTTCGGTAAACGGTCATTGAGTATATGATGCTTTAGTGGTTGTCCTTTTGTCTAAACAAATATCAAAGTCCCGATTCGGAAAAGTTGCCTCAGAATTGTTGCCTCGGATACTGTTACCTCGAATAAATTAATCTAAGACATTAGGGTTATTACTAAGACGTCCTAACATTGCTTTAGTGACCGTACGTCCCTTTCGAATTGACCCTCAAAACTCCAACGATGATGCTACCTACTCATTAATAGTGGGATAGCGCTATCTAAAGGAAATGAACATAGAACGATTCTTTTTTCGAGTAGGTAGATTAGTTCTTAAGTACTTGCTCAATCCAAATAAAAAATTTCACACTTACACTCCTTTACAAACAAAGTTTTCAAAAACACTTCATTACACTCTTGAAGACAGAAGCAAGAGTTAAATCGAAGTCAAAACAAAAACTTTTCAAAACACACAAGCACACAAAGAAAACAATTTTGAAAATGATGAGCAAGTACCTAAGAGCCCGTAGATAACTACGGATAGAAAGGGTGCTAATACCTTCCCTTTCTATAATCTACCCCCCGTATTCAGAAATATCTCGAAAAAGGAATTTTTCTGTGCTTTTTTCCTTTCCTTGTTGGATAAAATAAAAGTCGGTGGCGACTCTTGCTTACCGCGACATTTTGCAAACACAAACGCAAAACACAAACCAGCAAATTCCTTAAAAAATAGGGAAACACGTCCCGGTTCTGGCCACCGTATCACAGTAAGTATCATCAACACCCAAATAACCACAATATATAACATATAATCAAATAAACAAATAATAATAAAAACAAATATGACAGATTAGGCTTAACCCACTCAGGGATGGACCAGTAAGAAGTCAATCTATCCCCAGCAGAGTCGCCAATTCTGTAGCGATAAAAAATGTAGCGGTGTAAATTGGAGATCGAGCTATTAATTAACTTGACTCGATAAAGTAAGAGTCGCAACCGCGCTTTATTATTTCCAAGGAAAAAGGGAAAAGAGCGAAATAAAACCCTTAAATATGCAATGTAAAGTAATACTTAAAAGTAACGAAAATACAATGCGTTTTTGAAAGAGATTGAAGGTTCGGGGGTTGGTTATACAAAGGGAATGTACTAGCACCCAATGCATCTGCGGTACTCCGCGAGAACCTTTTGAAATATCTGATTTTTGGTTAAAATTGTTTGTTTGGCTAAAATGGGTGTGAATGAGATTTTGAAGATACGACGACCTAGTGTCGAAGTTTTGACTTAAAAGGTGTGAGTTTTAAAATTGAGTCTTTTAGGTAATATAACTTAAGATTAACAAAAATAGTAAAACAAAAATGAATGAAGGGATTCACACAATTGTATAAGATGTATTTGATAACATGAAGTCAACAAAGTTAAAACATTTCCCTTGGAATTAATCGAACAAGCAAAACAAAATAAATATTAAAATATAAGCATTCGAAATTTCATAAGAAAATAAATTTAACAAACAGATTAATAACAAAAAGGACATCGAGAAATTTAATTTAAACAGACAAAGGCAATCAAATATAAATGAAAAAAAAGGATATGAATAATTATCTAAAGAAGTTATTTGAACTAAATTAAGAATTTAAGATTACTAGATTAATTTTAAACTAACTACAAATTCTAAAGTTATCAAACTAACTAAACATTATCCTAAAAAAACACTAAATTAATTCTAAACTTAAACTAATTAATATAAATTAACAAGGATTATCTAATACTAGAAAAATTCATGATTAATCAATTGATTTTACTAACTAAACTAAGTTAATAAAAAAACTAAGAAAATTTAATAAATCCAACTAATTACTAAAGGGTGGTGTAAGCAGAATAATAGGGTGGAGAGCTAGAAATTGGTTTGGGCTTTACAAAATAAAAAATAGAAAATAGATTGGCCCAAATCGAAAATTATGAATTAAGAAAAACCCTAGAAGCTCTAAAGGCAGTTGTTGGCTGTCATTATTGGGAAGGGAAACTTACAGACATTATAATCATCATTATTTCGAATAAAAAGCAATTAAAAGGAAAGTTGAAACAAATAATATACAATCCTCTCTCCCTCATTCGTATCATCACCATCATCTTCCCTAAATTAGTGTTATATTGTTGATTAGAATTCCTTTCAAGTAAACACTAATAACACCACTAGCTCCAACCCAATCTTGTCGATTAACGAGCCTACACAGCAGGTAATATAATCTCCGACGATGTTCCGATCTGAAAGGTTTAGTACAGAGTCTAATAACGTAGGAAGGCGGAGGGAGAATCGAAGGCGCTAGAGCTGAGCGGAGCAGAAGACATAACCTTCTTCTCCTTCAATCACTGTCGCTCAGCCTTTCACCGTCGTTCGTGTCGCTACACTGAAGCCACTGTACAACCTATCTTTTCACATTCTTCATTCTTGCTTCCGCATGATTTCACGATCTCCTCCGTCTTGTTTCAACGTCTCACGATCGAGCCTCTATCTCTGTTTGTCATCGTTTATGCTCCATCGATCTCTGCTTCAACATCACCCCGCCTTTGCTTCTCAGTCAAAGCATCTCCGATTCGGCTTCTACTTTTTCAGTTTGTTATTGAAATTTATGTGTTACGATTGTTGTTGAAATTCGGGATGCAGAACGGTGTTGTTGTTGGTGTTTGTGATATTGTTTGTGCAATTCTGATACGTGAGATTGATGATGCAGGAACTTGATGATAATGAGGAAGATTGGCGGTGGTATTGAGGAGGTTGACGAAGCAGTTTGATGAAGTTGCGGAGGAAGCAGAATATTGAGGGTTGAAGTTATCGTGAGTTAGAAGGAGGAGAGGTTGAGTAAGAGATAGTTGCAATTGATGGTGGATCTGTGAAGGTGTATTGAAAATAGGAGCGGTTTTTGTGTGAGACAGGCTTGGCAGCACAAAGGGGATATGGTGATGTGAATCAGATGAAGGTCACGTGATTGGAGAATAGGGGAGTTGTTGGTGATTTGAGGTGACTGTAGTATTGATGTTTATAGACGATAGTTGGAATTGAAAGTGAGGTGGAATGAAGAACGTTGTTTGAAGCAGGTTTGTTGAGTTTTATTTTTCTGTGTAATTTTTTTTTGGTTTTTCTCTAACGTTTTATAACATTTACCAGTTATAGCAATTTTCAGAATATATATATATATATAAGGTTGTGATAAATCAAGCATTCATATGGCATAAAGAAAATGACGCAAAGAGAATAATCAACTATGTAATGAGGGTAACATACAAGCGGAGCTAAACGGATACTGATGTGTGAAAGAAGATTATGAGAAGATTATGCAGAATATAATGGAGAGGAATATACCTATCGGAGTCTCTCCGATGGAGCTTCAAAAACAGTAAGTTCTCCCTCCCTTTGTTGATACTCAAACTTCTTTAACTCTGATTCTTGTTGTGATTCTTGAACAAATTTCCTCTTTTTTCTGTTCATGAAGGTGGCATTTTATAGTGAAATAGGTGTGGTTTTAGGGGGGATGTGAGAAATTTGAACAGTTATGAATGCCCTGTTTTGAGGCTTTTTTGATACAGTTTTGAGTTTCCATTTTGGTGTAACCTCTAGGCTGTTATGATGCCGGGCAGTAGGCTGTATTAGACTGTTTTACAGCAGTTTTTTGGCAGAATTTAGACTGATCTGCTTGGTTGTTTATGCAGGACAACATGTATGTAGCAGAATTTTGTACCATTGCAAGCTGCTATTTGGATAGCAAAGTACCACAAAAATGGGACAGTTATTGTGTTGAAACCTGGCTGGAAAATGGGCAGCATGTTTGAAGCATGAAATTTTAGGACATTAGAAATATAGTTTGATTTTTATGTACAAACTTGTAATTCCTCTTGTAACTTTATAGTGATAATTTCAAATGAAATTGTAACATGTAATTTTCTTGAATGAATATGAATGGAACTTATTTGACTTGGATGAATCATGGGTGAAGCTTGAAGAATTATCAAAATTGTAATAAGTCTTGAATTTAAATGTGACTTGAAATACTTCATTTGAATTTTGAATGAATTTGTCTTGAAATTTGGAGTCTTACATTTTAAATGGAATTAATCTCATGCCTTTGAAAGACTTTTAAATATCATGCTCTTGAAAATAATCTTGAATAAATGCAATGTGATGAATGATTTGAATCTTGAATGAGCCCTTTTGATAACTTCTATTTAGTTAACACTTGAATTCACATGATGAAAATTCAAAGTATTCTAAATAAATTCTTCCAAAGAAATCTTGAATTCAATCACCCCACTCTAACAAAATTCACCCTGCGTCATGTAAGTATAAGAAATCGAACCATACTTAAAAGCTTCGAATGATCACTAGAAGAGGGATTTGAGGCGAAATGTTATCGCATTGAGAATTTGACACAATGAACAAAACTTAGAGATCCAGAAACTCTTAAATTATGACAAACGTCCTATAAAGGATTTTCATGGCTTTCTAAACATAATTTGTCTTCAACTTTTAAAGAAAACTTGCAGATGAGTTTTGGTCGAAGTTCTTTGAATTGACTTGTATAGCCTACTCTTTTCTTGTATTTCAAGGCAAGGTGAAACACACGTGAACCAGTGGTAATGGAACCTTACTGTTTTTTTTTGTTGAGGAATTTTGGAGAAGCTTGAGGCCACTTGTTGGACAGAGCGTGGAAATAAACACACGATTCTCAGAAAGTTCCTCGGAACAAGCTATCACACTTGAGACATCCGTGATCAAAATAAGCTTGAACGATGTTCGAGACTCTATGCTCTGAGATTAGAAGTTGTGCCTTAAGAATTAGTCTTCGAGAATCAATGATCAATTGTACTTCTGGCTTGAGAGACTCAAAACCCTAATTGAGGCGTGACGCCTGATGCTCTTGATTCAGACCTATTTCTGCACATGAAATCAAAGAAACAAAAAAAAAATGCACTTCGTGCTTAATTAGAAGTTAGTCATGCATAAGATAAAATGTTCACAATACTCGATAAACTCTGCACAGGCAATTCTCGAAGGTGAGAAGTTCAAAAACGACCATTTTGTGACCTTTATGTATATATAAAAAAATGCAAACGAAGATGGGATCTTAGGTCAAAAATTGGGTTATGACACTGTGATATCACTCTACATTGTTGTTGGTTAGCTTGGAAAGATAAGGGATCAGTCCAATCAGTTTGTTCAGAAAGCAAGATACTAAGGAGCTTCGAAGTCATAAAAGTCGTAGCAGAGTCGGGACCCGATAAATTTGCACTCACATTGCCACCTTTGTTTTCTCCTCTGTATGCTTTGTATGCAATTACCTCTTTTAGGAATTGTTTCTTGATGTAAATGCCTATTTACAGGCCAGTCAATTAATACAATTCTCCTTTTTTTCTTTCAAATCATGCTTATTTGTTTTCAGTTTTGTTGTTTTGTTTATGAAAAGACGTCCAACATTTTTTGATAAACTTTGCATTTAAAACATTAAAGCTTTACAGCACATGATATCAATAACAGAAAATGCCTAAAATTTAGGGTGTTTAAGGTGACGTCTAAGGTAACCATCCCATACCCGGGGCATGTTGTTGTGATTTCCACTTTTGCAGGTACTGTTGGTGTTTTATGACAAGAAGCATACCATCAAATGAATCGAGAAGGGTCAGTATACGACCAATATGAGGATTTGTATAGAGTGGGATCTATATCACCAGGGTACACGGTCCGCCCCCAAAGGATCTTTCTCAACCTTTGTTTGTAAAGTTTACTAGACCACGTACATCATCTATCCTTCAACAGCATGTCTGGGTCCCTGAGCTAGTTAATGACAAAAACAAGGTGGTCAGTGATACTATTGAACCAGTTCAGAAGAGTCCAGTTTCGTCTCAAAGTTAGGAAAAAGAAGAGCTGATAAGGCAGTAATGAGATCCTCGGGAGGAAAGAAGATTCCAAGTACTTACATGGGGCATCCACTTGATATGCTTCCCAAGGCTTTACATCAACAACCATTATTTGGTTCTCCTCGAAACAACCTGAATCAGATTCGCAACAGGGGTCACTTTGATCTTATTCCTATGACATATACTGAACTGTATATTGCGTTGGTCTGGAAAGGCTTGATCATAACTAGGGCTTTTCCACCTCCTCCAGATCCTCTCTCGAAAGGTTTCAGATCTGATCTCCATTGTCCTTTCCATCAAGGTGCAGCAGGCCATGATTTGGAAAGATGTTTCCCTTTGAAGGCTAGAGTACAAGAATTGGTGAAGGCTAAGATTCTGAATTTCAAAGATATCAACCCCAATGTTGTCAACAACCCTTTTCCAGACCATGCTAAGTGAAGCTTCCGTTGGTTCAGACTAGTTTATTCCCAAACAAGTGTTTCAACAAGGATAACTCATCCTGCTTTTGATTATTGCAATAGACCTTGTTTCATTTCTGTTTGTACTTTCAATTTGACTATGTTGAACTGTTTGTCTTTTAAATTGTATGCTCTTTGTTTTATCAATTTTAATGAAATGAGCATTTTACATCTTTAAATCAATTTATGGTTTCAATTATTGTTCTAGTATATCCCTTGTTTTACTTGCTTTATTAAACTTTTGTTTATGCAAAGATTGGAGGAAGGATGATGAGAACGAAATACTCAGAATTGTTGTCTGTATGCTTTCAATTGAAACTTAAATGATGATGTAAAGTATTGTTTCAACTTCCAAACACTGGAGAAATAAGGAAGTTAATCCCTTGTTCGCCCCTTTGAGCCTAGAAGTTGGAGTTTCTTTCTGTGCAAAAAACCCGCAATCTTAACCCGGGGATGGGTAGTTCTCAGTTAACTTAACTATGCATTCAAATACAAGAGAAATCATGCAAGATACATTTCAATAAATGTTGCAATCACAAGCCTTCCTTCGCACACATCAAAGAAGTGTCGAAGATATCTTAAACAAAAGTGACGATGATGGTTCCCATAATCATTAAGCCAGGAAGTCACTATTCTTCCAAAAAAAATATATCAAAAGAAAAGTCTGCTAAGTCAGAACCTATGAAGGAGGCTTAGGCGAAAAATTAGGGCATCCCGTTGACTGTAATCTCAAATAAAACAGTTCAGGAAAAAGTTAGGGATAACAAATTCAAAAGAGAGAGGTCTTCAAATCCTCAAAAGTCTCCACCAGAGTTGACAAAAGTCCTCAACAACAAAATATTATAAGATAAAGTTAATGCCATCTCAAGAATCCCTTGGTTTCTGAACCATCATCATCACCAGAGCTACAATTCCAAAATCTCTTGAAACTATAATGCATAGGTTGATTTAATTGAACGTATGACTGTGAACATCACAAAGAATGGGGTATATACGAATAAAATTTGAGTCTTTATCCTTTGCTTCATAAACCTTGAACCAGACCACGTTATAACTCTTGAAAGACCTAATTGAGGCTAAGTTACTTCTAAAAGCATACAACAACGAGGTTGCGTAAACTGACTCCCAAGTTTCCATTAATCTTTTGCTCTTGGCATTATGCCTTTTCTTTATATTTTACTTTAAGCCATTGTGTTTTAGCCAGTGAACTCTTTTCTCTTTCATCAATGATGTCTTTCCAATAATTCTTTCTATTTTAACCTTTTACACGAGATTTGCACTTAAAGTACCATTTTTGAATGAACAATTTTATTTGCAAACATGTTTTCCCCATCGAGGAATTTCCAAACTGTCAAGAAATTTGGTTTATGTTTTAATCAAGGGCAAGTATCTTCAAGGTCTTGTTGGAGCTTATTCTCGGAGTTGTTTATCAGGAACTGTTTCTCTTACAAGTTTATCAGAATTTCTTCTTCAAGACTCATTCTGGGGCAAGCGTTTCAAGCAGACAGTGAAGCAGTCATTTCAAGAATCAGTCAAACTAAAGAAATGATCAGTTAACCTGAAGCAGTTATCACTCAATTAGGGGAACTCCCCAAACATATCTCATTAGTTCTTCCTAAAAGGATCAGCAATTGTATATACTTGGCAAGTTATGGTAGAAGGTGGTTCAAGACATCTTCCGAGAAGCAGAGTTGGTAGTTTTCTCTGTGTTGAGGAACATCGTTCCAATCTTCCCCCATAAAAGAGTCTAGCTCAGTCATCATAATTATTTGCACTATATGCATTGATCATTCATACATCATGCACAACAAATTCAATATCATGCATAGCTCGAAGAGTGTTTCACGCTTGTT